GTGGAAGGGGAGATGTGGGTTTGTGGGAGAGGAGGGAGGTAGGGCTGCTGACGTGCGCCCTGCGCCTCTACAACCACCCGCATCATTTCTTCCTTCCACTGCAGTTCATAGTTAGTAGGTGATGGGGAGAACATGGCAGATTGGACATACGTGTAGAACCGTGGTGCACGCCCATATCTGTGCTGTTTCCCTTCCATGCCCCTCACAAGCCACTCCATCTCCCCTTTTTTAACCCTACACTTCCTCTCTCCCTCCCTTCCCCCCTCCCCACCTCACTCCTACCTCTTCTGCAGTTCATAGTAGGCGATGGGGAGAACATGTCGGATTGGACGTACGTTGAGAACGTGGTGCACGCGCATATCTGTGCTGAGAAGGCTCTTAGCGAGTACAAGGGCGACCCCACCAGTCACGACTCGCCAGCTGGCAAGGTATGGTCCCATTTTCTCTCCCTTTCTCCATCCCTTTCTCCATTCCTTTCCCCATTCTCCTCCTCATCCCTTTAACCATCCCACTCCCCATCCCTTTCCCCGAACCACTCCCCATCCCTTACCCCATCCCACTCCCCATCCCACTCCCCATCGCTTTCCCCATCGCTTTCCCCATCCCACTCCCCATCTATTTCCCATCCCTTTCCCCATCCCAGTCCCGTCCCACCACCCGCTCGCCCCACTTCCCCTCCCACTACTTGTCCCCAGTCTCGATTTTCAGTTGCATCCCTAATTTCCAAGCCTTGTCCTTCCAGTGCAACTTCCCTCTCTACCGCTTTCCCAACCTTAATACCCCCTTTTCTCCCTACCACTTCCCCAGCTCTCACCCCTCCCGCCCCCGTATGCCCACCATTTCCCAAGTGCCGCTAGCTAACCTCTCACTCTTTCCTTCAACTGCTTTCAACCCATCTCCACCGCTTTCAACCTTTCTTGAACTCATTGCAGGCGTATTTCATCACCAACGCTGATCCCAGGCGATTCTGGGACTTCATTTTTGCCATTGCGGGGGGCTTTGGCTACAGCAGCAAGTGAGTGCCCAGTGCCCATATAATCGGTCTCTTAGTAATGGCCCGATACCGGCTATGCAGATTCTAGTTACAGAAGCAACAAGCTCCCAGCGGCCATCCTCATCCACTAGTTGGCTTGGGGGAGTAAATTCTGCTTCCAAGGCCCATCTCAAACTTTTGAGAATTCTCAAAAGTTCAATCAACATAGCTATTTGGGGGAGTAAATTCTGCTTCCAAGGCCCATCTCAAACTCAAAACTCTCCTATCCGCTTTCTCCCACCCTCCTCACCTCCCCCCCTCCCAGGCCCATAGCCAAGCTCCCAGCAGACATCCTCATTCCACTGGCAGGGGGGGTGGAGGCCGTTACAAAGGCCCTGGCCCCTCTGGGTGTGCCGCCCTCTGATTTTACTCCTGCCCGTCTGCTCCTTGCCACCCGCTGGAGAACCTTTTCACCTGCCCGGGCGGGCAGGCTGCTTGGCTACAAGCCAATCGTTTCAGTTGATGTGAGTGGTCGGAGGTTAGGGTTTTGCGGGTTTAGCGGTTTAGGGTATGCCAAAGTTGCAAACCCTGCCCCCTTTAAACTCCACATGCTCTTCCCCCTGGCCCATTTCCCCACTTGCTCTTGCCCCTGCCCCATTTCCCCACTTGCTCTTCCCCCTGCCCCATTTCCCCACATGCTCTTGCCCCCGCCCCATTTCCCCACATGCTGTTGCCCCCGCCCCATTTCCCCACATGCTGTTGCCCCTGCCCCATTTCCCAATACAGGAAGGCCTGCAGCGCACAATAGCATCGTACCCGCACCTGCAACGCACCTCCTACGAGAAGGAAAAGGCAGCCGAGGCAGCAGCAGCACGAGCAGCGTTCCGAGAGCGCTCCTCCGTGCACAAAGCACTGGGAGGAGGCCTAGTGGCGGACCTGCTGCTGTGGCAGGACGTGAAACTGTCTCTCCTGGCCATGCTGCTCGCGTGGATGGTGCTGCGCTGGGCTCTTGGGAGGGTGGGGGGCACGCCTGTCCTGTCGCTGGTTGCGACAGCTGTCATGGGGTTCCTCCTGCATGCTGCCGTGCTGCACCGCATTGCTCCCATTGCAAAGAGGTGAGACAGTTGCAAGGATGGGAGGTGAGAGTGGTCACGTCTCTTGTGCACTGGGAGGAGGCCTATTGGCGGACCTGCTGCTGTGGCAGGACGTGAAACTGTCTCTCCTGGCCATGCTGCTCGCGTGGATGCTGCTGCGCTGGGCACTTGGGCGGGTTGGCGGGACTCCCATTGTTTCACTTGCTGCCACTGCTGTCATGGGGTTCCTCCTGCATGCTGCCGTGCTGCATCGCGTGACTCCCATCGCCAAGAGGTGGGACAGTGGGATAGGAGCAGGTTGGTGCTGCTGGCAGTGACAAGAAGGTGAGACTTTTGAGTCGACTCAAAAGTGCTGCTGGCAGTGACAAGAAGGTGAGACTTTTGAGTCGACTCAAAAGTGCTGCTGGCAGTGACAAGAAGGTGAGACTTTTGAGTCGACTCAAAAGTGCTGCTGGCAGTGACAAGAAGGTGAGACTTTTGAGTCGACTCAAAAGTGCTGCTGGCAGTGACAAGAAGGTGAGACTTTTGAGTCGACTCAAAAGTGCTGCTGGCAGTGACAAGAAGGTGAGACTTTTGAGTCGACTCAAAAGTGCTGCTGGCAGTGACAAGAAGGTGAGACTTTTGAGTCGACTCAAAAGTGCTGCTGGCAGTGACAAGAAGGTGAGACTTTTGAGTCGACTCAAAAGTGCTGCTGGCAGTGACAAGAAGGTGAGACTTTTGAGTCGACTCAAAAGTGCTGCTGGCAGTGACAAGAAGGTGAGACTTTTGAGTCGACTCAAAAGTGCTGCTGGCAGTGACAAGAAGGTGAGACTTTTGAGTCGACTCAAAAGTGCTGCTGGCAGTGACAAGAAGGTGAGACTTTTGAGTCGACTCAAAAGTGCTGCTGGCAGTGACAAGAAGGTGAGACTTTTGAGTCGACTCAAAAGTGCTGCTGGCAGTGACAAGAAGGTGAGACTTTTGAGTCGACTCAAAAGTGCTGCTGGCAGTGACAAGAAGGTGAGACTTTTGAGTCGACTCAAAAGTGCTGCTGGCAGTGACAAGAAGGTGAGACTTTTGAGTCGACTCAAAAGTGCTGCTGGCAGTGACAAGAAGGTGAGACTTTTGAGTCGACTCAAAAGTGCTGCTGGCAGTGACAAGAAGGTGAGACCAAGGGATAGGACAGTGCTGCTGACAGTGCTGCTGACAATGCTGCTGACAGTGCTGCTGACAGTGCTGCTGCCAGCGCTGCTTGCATTGCTTAACATGCTTAAATTCCAATGTATGCCAGCAACACCTTCTCCTTGCTGCCGCTCTTCAACCAGATCCCCTTCCCTTCTACCCCTCCCTTCCCTCCTCTCATCTCCATCCCCCCCCGTCCTTTTTATTCCTCTGCTCTCCTCGTTTCAACCACAGGTTCCGCCTGCCTCTACCTGACATGGCGGCTGTTGAGTGGCGCATTCCGGAGAAGCCAGTGGTGGAGGCGAGCCAATGGGTGGCTGCCACGTGGAATGGCTCTGTGGCCGCTCTGCAGGAGAAGCTGCTAGTGGAGAGGGACTGGACTACTGCCGGCAAGGTGGGTGGCGGTGGGGTAGAGGGGTAACGCTGGGGGGTTGGTTGGGTGGGCGATGGAGGGTGAAGCACAGGGGGGCGATGGAGGTGGCTCGTGTGTGCCTCTGCAGGAGAAGCTGCTAGTGGAGAGGGACTGGACTGCTGCCGGCAAGGTGGGTGGGGCTGGGAGGCTGATTGGGAGGGAAGGGGAAGAGGGATGGAGGAAATGAGGAAAGGGAGGATGTGGGGGGGTGAGTTGTCTGATGTCTTGGCTGATTTCCGAGTTGTCTGATGTCTTGGCTGATTTCCCAGTTGTCTGATGTCTTGGCTGATTTCCGAGTTGTCTGATGTCTTGGCTGATTTTACGGTTCATTCGTCCATTGCTTGCTCGTGTTCATGAATTAGTTTGTGTGTCTGCATGTGCCGTGCTGTCTTGCTGTTCTTCCAGGTGTTGGTGGCGCTGACTGCGCTTCAACTCCTCTCCTCTTTCATCACTGTTTACTCGCTTTCCTTCCTGGGTATGCCTTTGCACTCACCCACTCTCTCACTTACATGGATACGCGCGCATGTGTGCAGTGCACACAAGAAAAGGCATGCACTCACACACACCACACACACACGCACATATACACACTCACTCTCACACAAACACACACACTCACACACACACACACACACAAGTGCGCGCGCGCACACACTCACACTCACAGACGTGCACTCTTACATCCTGTACTGTGTCTCTCTCCCCCATCTGTACGCCAATCCCTCACCCTTCCCCCACTCCCCCCTCTTCTCACAAGCCCCCACCCCTTGCCCAGACTCCCTTCACTCTCGCCTGCCCACCCCCCCCTCCTCCCTTTTCGCCCCTCTTCCTTCGCCTTTCACCCATTCTCTCCTCTTTCCTCATGTGCCAACCTCCCTCATGCCCATATGCTTCCCATGCCCCCTTCCCCCACACCAGCCCTGCTGGCAGTGTTTGTAATTCCCTCAGTGCTTGACAAGAGGCAAGGAAGCAACGCAGCAACCTCCACCAGTCAAGGAAACCAAGCATCAAACTCGAGTGTAGCCACATCATAAGCAGTCCATTCCATACGGGCTGACACATAAGCTCCGCTATAAGCAGTGCTATTGTGAGGACAAAGCAGGCTTGTATTGGAATACCGCTTTAGTTACAAGTAGCAAGCCATTAGCCATTCCTATTTGGCATTGCTGGTTTGCGATCTTACACATGTAAGGGTAACATGTACTTCTTCGGAGGTCACTCTTCAAGGCAATGCTCTATTGCAAGCTGCTTCAACTGACAGCAAATCAGTATCACAACCGTTACAGCTCAGCTGTTAAAATACTAGATTAAATACTTAGTTATGTACATGGCAAGCATCTAGCCTAATATACCCTACACTACACTAGATGTCCAATCCCATAGCAGGCTCCATGTTCTCCTTATCATCACCAAGTATCCTCATCACTCTCCCCCTCTCCCTCACTTCCTCCCCCTCCACCACTCCCCCCCCAATCGCATGCTCACTCCATGCCTCATCCCCAATAAAACCACTTGCTCCTCCCACATCTGCACCCCTTCTGTAATTCCCCCTCGCAGCAGGCTCGCCCACCTCCCACATTCCCTGCTCCCTCTCTCCACGCCCTTCCGCCGTATCCCACTCCCTCTCCTGCATTTGCCTCTGCTCCTCCTCCTCCTGCTCCACCTGCCTCTCCTCCACTGCTCCCTCCTCTGCTCTCCCATCCTCCCGCCCTCCTCCCCTCTGCCTGCCCCCACGCCACTCCCACGCCCTCACTCGCTCCATCACCCCCCGGTCCCACCACCGCCTCCTTCCGGCCGACATCCTTCGTCTTCTCTGCATCACATCCACCTCACTGGTGTCCCCCTCGATAGAATCACCTCTGGTAATATCACCTCTGATAAAGTCCCCTGCAGTGCCTGTATTGCCACTGCTCGTCTCCACCCCTGCAACCTCGGTATAGTCACCCGGCATAGCACCACCATCAATAAGAGCCCGAAACGCTTGCCATGCATACCCCTCCTGCTCCCCCTCTCCCTCCTCCCCGCCCTGCCCCATTCTCATCCCCTCCCTCCATATTCCCTGTCCCTCAACCCCTCGCCTTCCCCTCTCCTCACTCCCTCGCGCTCCCCTCTCCTCCCCTCCTCGCCCTTCCACCAGCTCGTGACCAATAGGCAGCAGGGATGGCAGGGAGGCGCGGCAGTGGGATGGGTGAGGGCGCAAGGGAGGGAAAGAGCAGGGCAGGGGAGAGGAGGGGAGAGTGCACGAGAGCACAGTGTGCCTGCGAGTAGGCAGGTCCCTGTCCCTCACAACCCGCACCTTTCCCTTCGGAATGCTGTCCCCCACTTTTAAGTAGCTAGCTTTCCCCCATCCTCCCTCGCTCACACGCCCGCCCCTGCTGCCAGCGATACAGTCACTCCCACTGCTGCTTCCCCTACCACTGCTGCTCCCCCTGCCACCGCTGTCCCCCTCCCTGCTCCTGCCCCTGCCGGCTGCAGCAGCTGTGCTGTAGCGCCTGCTGCTGCTTAACCTAGCTCCAGCCGGAACAGTGGTAACCGCAGTGGTAACATCAGCGGGAACAGCAGTGGTAACAGCAGTAGCAGCAGCATCAGGAGCAGCAGAAATTGAAATTAGGGTTTCACCTGCCCCAACAACAGCCTCTTGCCTGGATTCTCCAAATTTCTCCCCCAGGGCCATCTCAGCTGCCACAATTTCCTTATCCGCCACGTCACCCATCCCCGCCACGCCAGCAGAAGCTGCCACGTCAGCAAACGCCTCTTTTGCAGTTTCCACGTCAGCGAGAACCGGTTCCAGCTCAGCAGAATCTACAACCAACAGCTCAGCGCGACGGACAGCCATCACAGGAGCGCTATCCTTCCAGTCCTCCATCGCAGCTGCAGTAACCAAGTTACCAGCTACACTCGCAACGCCCGCTGCAGCCACGGCCTCTACAATCACATCCATCAGCTCACCCACCATTTCCGCCTTCTCCGCTTCTAACCTCGTTATTATCACATCCCGCTCCTCCCGCTGCACATCCAGCACCCGCGCCATTTCTTCCATACTCGTTAAATACCCCTCCTTCTCCCGACGCGCCGTGGCTAGTTCTTCCTTCAGCGATTCGACCTCCACCACGTGGCGCCTGCGCTCGGCCGCGAGTTCCCCCTCCGCCGCCCGCAGCGCCACCATCAGCTCGACCTCCCGCGCTCGCGCGCGCTCCGCGGAAGCCGCGGCGTCCGCGATTGCGGCGGAAACCGCGCGCTCCTGACCTTCCGCCAAGGCTTCACGTTCCGCGCGCGCGGACTCCAGCGCACCTTCCGCCTGCGACAGCGCAGCCTGCAGCTCCGCGACCTTCCGCTCAAGGAAGTGCGCATACTCCGCTTCCTCGCTCTCCGCCGACTGAGCTACTGCTGCGACAGGTGCGACTGGCGCAACACGTGCGTCCAGTGCGACAGGCGCGACGGGCCTGCGAGCGACGTCGCATTCGTCGTCCGATTCGTCGTAGTCCATGTCGTCGTCATCGTCCAGGTAGACCTTCCCCTTCTGCCCCGTCAGCCCCGTTGACCCTGCTGTCGCTGACGTGGCAACCGTCGACTTGGCAGCAGGCGACGACGGCGGCGAGCTGACGTGCCCACCAAAACCTCCGCCAACGGCGAGCCCGGCGAGATCGCACGAGCTGTTGACACGTGGCATCGACAGCACGGCGCGCGTCGTCGCCTCCGTCAGCTTGCGCTGCGTGTCCATCAGGAGCGACAGCGCCGCGTCCTTCTCCTTCATCAGCTCCTCGTTGATCGTGCGCGACTCGCTCAGCGACTCGGTGAGCAACGCGATGCGGCTCGCCGCGATCAATAGCAGCTCCCCGTTGCTCAACCCGCTCAGGTCGGGCGGCAAACTGCCGTCCACCGCCGCCTTCGCCGCCGCATCACCGCACCCGGCCGTTTCTCCAAGACTGCCGGCGACCTCACTGTCAGAAACCTGACCGTCAGAAGAGGAAGGCACCGTCGTCTGAGAGGCCGGCTGTGACTCGGTAAGAGCTTCCGCGATAGTGAACAGCGAGCTGTCCGAGGGTCGCGATGATGCGGGGAGAGAGGCGAGCGCGGGGAAGGCGAACGACGACGCGGAGGAGCTGCGGGAACGCGCGGAAGACGCGGAGATTCGTCCCCCTGAGGCAGAGGAGGAGGAGCCGCGCCCCCCTGACGCGGAGGAGGAGGAGGAAGAAGACCCGCGCGGGCGGAAGGAGAACGACGACATGGACGAGCGACGCGCGCCGCCATGGTTGTTTCCATACGCGCCGTCAGCACCGCCGGCACCAGCTGCGGTGTCCGCTCCTGCGGAGGAGAAGGCGAAGGAGTGGCGCGCGGGGCAGCCGACGAGAATGGACTCCGCTAGCACGCGGATCGCACTGTCCCTACGCTCGCCCGCTGTCGCGCTAGAGGCGGAAGCGGCGGCGGCGGAGGAGCGGCGCACGTGGTCGGTCGCGTCCAACTGCTCACACTGTTGGCGCAAGACACGCAAGATATTGGGAATAGAGCGCGGAAAAGGGAATGGTGAGCGAGTGAAAGTGTGGAAAGTACGACAAGGGGGGAAGAAGCTTGCGCGGACAAGCGACAAAAGGTTGCAATGGGATTAGCGATTAGACTTACCAAGAGGGACCGGCCGTCGATTTGCCTGGAGGAGCCGCAGGAATCGCGGTAGAAGTGCGACTCGGAAGCGGCGAACGCTGCAAACGCCTCAGCGAATCGCGAATCGACGACGACGCTCGTCGTGCCGCTCAGAGACGCGGCGCACACACTGTCGAGGGAAGACTGCGAGACACCTATTTTCAGCGTAGGAGGAAACTAACAAAAAACTGACCGACAGACGTCGGCGGTCACGTTAAGCTGAAAGGCTGAATCGCGGAACCAAAAAGCAAACTGGAATGACTAAAAGCTTAGAATCAGCGAGGGCTGAAACTAGCAGGCTGAGAGGGCCACTGAATGAGGCAGAGTGTTAGAACTGAGTGTGTTGACTGAAGTCCACTTGTCGGCCTAAAATAGGTCTCTAGAGTCTATCGTGGGGACGAATATTACTCGTGGAGAGTTGAACGGTTCGGGTCGCGTCGGGTCGGTTTGGGGAAACAAATTCCAGGAGTTCTGGAAATTCGGGAGAGGTTTGGGCAAGGGAATTCGCCCGTGTCGGTTTCCCGTACCTCCGCTCCGCTGCTCGAGTTCCCCACCTCGGATGGGGAAGAAAGAACCAGCAAAAGCGGGGGCGCGCGCGCAGGGCTCCAACGTTTGGTCCGAGCTGGGCGCGGCAAGTGCGCCCTGGCTGGCGGAAATTCATCGGGGGCGAAATGGACGGGACGGGGCAGCCGGAGAACTATTCCGTCGATTCTCGCTACTCACTACCCCAAACCGCGGTTCAGCATTGCGAAATCAACCAAGACTTGTGATCGTGCCTCGAAATCCTCGGAAACAAATTTGTGGCAGCAGCTCGCCAAACCACTTGTGTGAGTGGTTTGATGCGGTTCGGAAAGGATAATAGAGCGTGCTTATACATGAGCTAAATAAGAATTACACGCACACATCATTATGTTTTGTTTGTGAACGGTGCAAGAGATGATGCTGTACACAATCTGAGCGAAACTCGAACTCTTGCCCACATGTTGGACACTTGAATCCTCCTGCCAAAAAATGATGAAAAGTAGGGAAACAGAAAGTAACAAATAAACTTGTATTAACACATTAGATTGTGAAGTTGATGTTAACATCAACCTGGTGCTAATGTTACGTACGAGGTGCTTCTGGTCGAAAGTAGGCATGCTGCAGAGCCTCTCGCGCGGTGATTCGGTCCCCCTGATTAGAAAATATGATGCAAAGGAGCATATGTAACCATAATCCAAACTGATAACAAACAACGACCACGATGACAACCATGCAAGAGCGAGAGAAAATATGCGACAACATTCCGCAAAAAAACTAAAGTCAAAAGGGTAGAAAACAGCTATACTTACGGGGTACCATTGCAGCAATCGCCGCAGCAGTCGAAGGGCCCAAATGCTGGGAAGACTGAGGAAGGAACGTGTGGTGGAATGGAGTGGAGGGCACAGGAAAGTGGTTCAGGAGATGGCACATCACATGGGGTAAGGCCATGGAATGAAGGGAACAAGTGAACGGTGGGAAGACAAGGAGTAATAATAAAGGGACATGCCAAAATATTTCATCCAGGCAGTCGATAGAGAAGTGAGTCAAAAACTGACTCTACTAGCCACATGTTGGTAGCTGGATTGGCTTGTAGACCAATTGAAAGGTCTCGTGCAATCTCACCCTTTCTTGACCGGGTTTCTCAGCTTCAGCTGTGCAGCAGAAACCTTTGAGGTGCCTAAAAAAAATCACCTCGCTGGTAACCAAAAACCCTTATTACATACAGCGAGAATTTTCTCGCGGTCTAACACTTTTGAAAAAAAAAAACTAAAAAGTGAACATCAAGGGATCTCAAGTGCTCTTACCCTTTCTTGAGCGGGTCCCTCTGCTTCAGCTGTGCAGCAATGACTTCTGAGCCGACTCAAAGGTCACCTAATCCTTACTAACATAGATTTATAGATCTCGTATGCTCTTACCCTTTCTTGAGCGGGTCCCTCAGCTTCAGCTGTGCTGCAATGCTGGCCTCGCTGCACTCCCACGGCGCCACCACACTCCACCCCTCTGCACCACTCCCACTGCTGCCATGACCACTGGGACTGCTGCTGCCACCAGCCTCCCCACAAGAAGCCCCACTTCCATGCACGGAGTCACTGCCCTGCCCACCCACATTGTTCTCTCCATGTTCATCGGCCTCCCCAACCCCCCTGTGGCCTTCTCCTGCTTCTCTCTCTTCGCCCCTGCCGCTGTCCGCAGTGCGACCCCTCTGGCCTGCTGTGCTGGATGCTGCAACTCTTCTAGTAGAACAAGGGACATGAAAAGTGGCAGCAGAGGCAGACGCAGTGGGGGCCTCTGCCACCCCCACTGCACTTTCCTGCGGAAGTGCACCTGCTGTAGCATATTCCTCCTGTGAATCAGCACCCACTACAGCCGATCCCTGGGGATGAGCATGCTCCACATGCGGTTGACGCAGCCTCAGCAAGTCGCTCACACCTCTGGTCTTCGCGCCTGCTCCACCCTCCACACCCTCCTCCCTCCTCACTTCCCCCTCCTCTTCTCCTGCTGCAGGCGTTCCTTCCTTCTTCTGTGCTAAAGACAGCCCATCGTTTTCCTCTGCTACCAACAGCTCCTCCTCTTCTTGCCCTGCTACAGACGTCTCCTCCTCCTCCGCTGCTACAGACGCCCCCTCATTTGGTGCCGCTTCAAAGACTGCAGGCGTAAAGATGCAGAGTTCCATCCATGCGCGCAAGCTGAGGAGGGGGCCGTCAGGGGAGTGAGAAGAAAAAGGTGCCTTAATGTCCTTGGCATTGAGCATGGTGAGGTTATCTCAGGCATGGAGACGGAGGGTTCCATCCATGCGCGCATGCTGGGGAGGACGGGTGAGGGGAGTGAGAAAAAGAAGGTGCCTTATGGTCCCTGGCATTGAGCACGGTGAGGTGAGGCAATCTCAGGCATGAAGACGAAGGGTTCCGTCCATGTGCGCAGCGCATGTTGCGAATCCAAGCGCGACTTTTGAGGCGCCTCAAAAGTGGTTCCATCCATGCGCACATGCTGCGAATCCAAGCGCGCGCATGAAGACGGGTGGATGAGGGGAGTGGAGGGAGACACAAGGAACTGAGGGTAGGAACGAGGCATTTCTGAACACGAGGAGGAAATCAGGCGTGAGTGAAGCAGTTTGCAGGAGAATCGGGGCATGCGAGAGGAATGTGAATTGGTTTTCTCACAAGAAGGCTGTTCGCCGGGTAGACTCGGGCCACCGGGCTGCTTGCAAGGAGCGATCTAGCAGCGCCTGGGGGAGGTAGAGGGGAACGGCGAGGATGGGGAGAGGCACACAGGGAGAGACGGGGAGAGGCGAAGAGGTGGCATTTGTAGCAACTCACCTTGCCGTGTTTGGCCCTGGTTTTACCGTTACATAGATTAGATTCATGAAAGGACCATTCGCGGAGGAGGAGAGGGGGTAGGTTAGGGGCGGGTGGGTGTGTATGAGCGTGAGTGCATGGGTGGGCATGGGTGGGCATGGGTGTGTGTGTGTGTGCGCGCGCGCGCGTGCACGCGCGTGGGCGCATGGGTGCATGGGTTGGTTAAGGATGCGTCTTAAGGGGAGCACCGAACCGAGTGCGGGCTGAGTGGAGAGGGCTTTTGAGGCACCTAAAAAAGTCACCTGAGTTCCAAGGGGGAGGGGAAGGGCTCAGGAGAGTGGACGGAGGGGCTGATCTGAGTGCAAAGGGGGAGAGGCGAGGGCATGTGAGGTATGTATGGAAATACCTGAGTGCGAGGGGGGAGAAACCAGACGTGCGGTGAACCAAAAAGGAGCTCTAGCATCAGCACTCCCACACTCCACATGTCGTAGCTGTGTGGGTGGGGAGGAGGGAGGGAGGGAGGGGTGAATAAAAGGAGTAACAAATTATCATGCTAGAGAGGAGCTCCACTCCCACACTTCACAATTTGTAGCAGCGTGACTCGGGAGGCTGCAGTACTGAGGTGATTTTTGGGATGCCTTAAAAATCACTCCACAAGTCGTAGCGGCGTGAATTGGGAAGCAGCAGTACAGCCATTGGTGCGACAGCACCACGGTCTTTTGAGGTGACTTTTGAGGCACCTCAAAAGCTGCCGTACAGTCAGTGCTGCCACAGGACCACGGTCAGTTGTGATTGAGAAAGTGGGGGGGTGGGGGGGGGGGGTCGAGAGCCAGAGCATGGGGCAGAGTGCTTGGGGGAAGAAACTTTCAGGCATACGCTCTGAGCGTTAACACATACCCGTAGTGCATCCTGCTGCTGACGTGGAAGCAGCTACTACTGGAGCTGTTCCTCGTGCAGTCAACACCTCCCCCAGATGCGCCTCCCCCTGTCGCACCTCCCCCTGCTGCTGTCCCTGCTTCTCCAGATGCACCCGCAGCTTCCTCCGTACCTCTGGCACTTGGGAGGCTCTGTGGCAGCAGCAGAACCTCTGGAGGCGAGTAGAGTTCTGTTTCCTCTGCACTGAGAGGGGGAAAAGAGAAGCGGTTGATTTTTTGGGATGCCTCAAAACTCACTCGGCTCTGTAGCAGTAGCAGCACTTTTGGAGGCAAGTAAAGCTCTGTTTCCTCTGTGCTGAGAGGGGGGGAAAGCGACAAAGAGGAACACAGTTTGTCAGGATGTCTCAAAACTCAGCTCTGTAACAGCAGCAAGTGAATAGAGCTGCAAAAAGAGAGAGGGAGGAGCGGAACGGGAGAAAAATGCACAAGATGTGAGGCAACCAGAAAATGTGTTGCTTTAACATTTTTTTCTGGAACTTTTCTCAGGTGCAATATCGATAAAGTATTTTTAAAATATATTTAATTAATTTATTTATTTATTCATTTATTAATTTCCCGAGTTTTAAGCCATCTCAAGATGTGGGCTGAGTAACGTGGCAAGGTGTTAGCTGTACATGCGTTATCTGGACAGGTGTTACCTGAAGTGGCATTGCGTGTGAAGATTGAAGTGTTGTCCTGCATAATAATTTCTAAGGGCGCTTCAGAACACTGGGTTTTGAGACATCCCAAAACATTCTAGAATTACCTAATATACACAGGTGGCTGATATAGACAAGGGCTGAGAGGAGGTGTTACCTAGACAGGTGAACCTGGAGGGCGGGGCGTTACCTGGAGGGCCCTGTTGGGCCGTAGAGGAAGCGAACAGAGTGCGGGTCAACAGCTGAACCAAGGTCAAGCACACGACTGTTGGGATGGGATGGACGGGAATGGAGAATGTGAGGAAGGGAGGGAGAAGAGGTATGATAGAAACATCGCCAGCAACGGCTGAGACCGGGTCAATGAGATAGTTGTTGGGGCTTTCTTCGAGAGAGGACAGGATAGAGAAGGGGAAAAGAGGAAAAGGCGGGATAGGGAAAGGATGAGACGAGAGGACAGGAGCGAGATACTGTATAGAGCTGTAGTCTGCATGCTCACCTTATAGCTTGACGAAATAGTGGCTTGTTTAGAGACGTCTCAGAACAGGCTTGTTATCCCATTGTGCTCTTGTCTATGTGCTCAGCATATTGCTTGACAGGCGTTCAGAGTTAAGGGTGCAAAGATTTATCCAGAATTTATGGTTGCTCGTATCACACACACCCACCCACTCCACTCACACGTGCGTGTCAGCATTGAAATCCGGGAGCGGATTTTCCACGGAAGTATTGCTACTTGCTGTCGACGAAGAGCCTGTTGCTTCTGCTTCTGCTGTTGCTTCCTCGGCTGCTGGCACTGCTGCTGCTGCTGCTGCTGCTAACGGTGGGGAGGAGGAGGCAGGCACGGGAGCATGCGATGCATGTCTTTCTGCTCGCCTCCCTGCATCCCTCCCCTTGGCTTCTTGAGGGCGTTCAAACTCTGACCCCCTGCTCGTCCTCCTGGGCTGAGGCTTCAGAATGATGTTCTCTGTTGGTGGACACAAAAACATGGTGGATGGAGATGAGCGGCGTGCCAAGTAGCACTGATTTGCCCTTGCTGGAAAACGGTATAGGCTCTAGTTTTTGGAAGGCATGGCGATGAACGTTTGAACTTAAGAGGCAGCCACCATAGATTGTTGTTGCTTCAGGTATAAGAACGTATGCCTCCTGAATACAAGTCTGCTGTTGCCCTCTTGTTTACCTTCTTGGGAACAGCCGTGTACCTGAGTGGATATCCCTGCGGGATATGTTGCGACTGGCTGGTTATCGAGAGTTCAAGATTGATTGCTTGACTGGTTGTTTGGTACATTGGACACTAGCCAAAACGGCAAAGCGTATGTTGGCATGTTGGCACATTGGTCAGAGAATGAAGCTTCCTGGGAAGCAGCAGTGCACTGCACCTGGTTTGATGTCCCTGTGGGTTATGTTGCGCGCTTGCAACGCGGCGAGCCCCAGCAGCTGTAGTGCAGATAACAGGGGCCAGGGGGAGAGGCAACCGGGTGAGTATTGATTGGATTCAAACGTTACTTGCACACTTGCATTGCAAAGCAGCAAGCCCCAGCCCAGCAGCTGAAAAAAAAGAGAGTAGGGGCGAGTGGCAGAGAGGACGCAGAGCAAGAGCACAGGGCGGAGGAAAGGAAGAGGAAGAGAAGTTCAAGAGGCGAATGAGGAGAGGAGAAGGGGGGGGAGTGAATGCACGTGGCACCATCTTCGGCATTCTCTTTTTCGGGAAATAGGGATGACAACATGGGCTACCCCTTCCACCGTCTGGCTCATTTTTGTTCTCACCGTCCGCCTGAGAATGCTCCTGACAGTCTCCTCGCCCCCCGCTGTGGAGTGCAGCCATCGCCACCATCTCGAAGGCCGCACGATGCTGTGCTGCCCACTCTTTACCTGCTGCTGACTTGTCCAGTGCAGGCCACTCTTTTGTTGAACCTCCTTTCTTTCATCCATGCCAACCAGTGCCCTACTCACCGTCTGCCTGAGGATGCTCCGCACAGTCTCCTCGCCCTCCACTGTGGAGCGCAGCCACCGCCACCACCTCGAAGGCCGCATGATGCTGTGCTGTCCATCCCTTGCCTGCTGATTCCCACTTGTTGCCTGCTGCTGCTCGCCACTCGCATGCTCCCCATATGCCTGTTGCTGAGCACTCTCTTTCCCCCCTTCTTCTTTCCCTCCTTTCTCTTGTTCTGTTCCCTCCCGTTCCTTCCCTCCTTCCTCGGCTATCCCTCCTTCCTCGGCTATCCCTCCTTCCTCGCGTTTCTCCACCTCCTCCCCGCCTCCCTCCTCATCATCAGCATCACTCGTGTACAGCAGGGAGGAGAGGGACACCCCTTCGTGCACAAACACCAGCCACAGATCCTTGCTCTGCTCATTACTTGCCTCCTTTTGAGTCGACTCAAAAGCCTTCCTCCCCTTCCCCCGCTGCTCCTCTCTCCGCCCTTTATCGCCTCCCACACCTGCACTTAAGTCAGCATCAGCATCACCACCGGTGGTGGGGGTATCGCTGCTACCGCCGCCACCGCCGCTGCCACTGGCAATCGTAGTTTCAAAGGACTCCACGTAGCGTGCGATGTGATGCAGACCCATCGCATCGACCAGCTCATCGTCCACATCATCCATCACATTGATGTCCACGTCATCATCCATGTCATCATCCACGTCAGCATCCACGTCAGCATCCACGTCAGCATGCACATCACCATCCACGTAGCCCGTAAGGACTTCAGAGCCACGAATAGCACCATCCCTCTTGTCGCCTTTGCCATGATGACGACGGGCGCCACGTGGCAGCACCAGATTGGTCGCGTTGAGGAGCATCTCCCCAAAGTACTTCTCTCGCAGCCCACTCAGTCGAGCACCCTCCCTCGCCTGAACCCACCCAACACGCACAGTGCAGTGGACAGGGGGCAGAAAGGGAAGAGGGGGAGGAATGATTATTGGGGTGGAGGGGGGAGCACCCTCTTCTGCCTGAACCAAGTGACTTTTGAGTTGTCCAAAGAGCACAGGTGCCTCATCTAGAGGAGTACCTCGCTACTTTTGAGTCGACTCAAAAGTCACCTCGAAAGGGAAGAGGGGGAGGAATGAGTTTTGGAGTGGAGGGGGAACACCCTCTTCTTTCTGAATCAAAAACCCACAGTGGAGTGGACAGGGAGAGGAGGAAGAAGAGGAAAGGGGGAAGGTGGGGTTGGTAGGAATAGCGCGCCTTAAACACAATCCTTCCCCCACTGAAGCCATCCAAGACGAAGGGAAGTAGGGGAGGGTGGGGGTGCTCAGCATGGGAAGGGATGAATGGGAGTGTGATGGGCAGGTGAAAATCTCCAAAACAAGATGTTGTGAATGGAGATAATTCCGCATCTCGTCAGGTAAGGCATGGAGAAAGTGGCGACTTTTGAGGCGCTTCAAAAGGAAAGTGGCGTATCTTACCAGAATGGCATTCGAGAACAGGAGCAGTGGCCTGCAAGGGAGTCTGTGTGATGAGCTGAGCGTGTTCTCGAAAGACTTTTGAGACGTCTCAAAAGTGATGAGCTGAGCGTGTTCTCGAAAGTCACACACGCATTTGATGAGTCGACTCACAAGTCACCTCAAAAGTCACCTCGAGCCTGACCCTTGCATTCGAGAACAGCATAACCGTGGCCTGCAATGCTCCCAGTGTGAAGGTTGACTCAAGGATCACCCGGACACCAGAACCGGTCAACAGTCGCCTGTGCTGCGCTGCGCCTGTGGCACTGGTGTCCTTCATTCGACTGAAAACCCCCCACTGATGTTAACAGTTTGACCCAGCAGACTAGAAACCTGAAGTTTGACCCACCAGAAGTCGCTTGAGCACGAACAGTGGCGGGACATCCGCCTCTTTTTCCTCCTCCTCCTCTTCCTCCTCTGCCACCTCCCCTTCCCCTTCCTCCTCCACTTCTTCTTCTTCCTCCTCTTCTTCCTCTCCCACCTCCCCTTCCCCTTCCTCCTCCTCCCTTTCCTCTTTCTCCTCCTCCCCCTCCTCTTTCACCTCCTCCCCATTCTCCTTCCCCTCCTGCCCTTCTTTCACCTTCTCTTCCTCCTTCTCGCCCTCCACCTGTTCTTGCCACTCTGAATACCGCACTCCCAGATGTTCCTTCATAAGCTCACCTTCCTCCTCTCCCCTACCACCCGCAGCCCTCTCAACTGCAACACTGTCCCGACCTGTTGATCCATACTTGCTTCCTGCACCTAAACTGACAGCCGCTTTCGCAGCAGAAGGAGGTGGGGGTGGGGGATGTGCAGGCAGCCAGGCACTGGAGGGCCGGCGGGCACTGGAGAGCAGGCGGGCACTGGAGGGCAGGCGGGCACTGGAGGGCAGGCGGGCACTGGAGGGCAGGCGGGCACTGGAGGGCAGGCGGGCACTGGAGGGCAGGCGGGCACTGGAGGGCAGGCGGGAACTGGAGGGCAGGCGGGCACTGGAGGGCAGGCGGGCACTGGAGGGCAGGCGGGCACTGGAGGGCAGGCGGGCACTGGAGGGCAGGCGGGCACTGGAGGGCAGGCGGGCACTGGAGGGCAGGCGGGCACTGGAGGGCAGGCGGGCACTGGAGGGCAGGCGGGCACTGGAGGGCCGGCGGGCACTGGAGGGCAGGCGGGCACTGGAGGGCAGGCGGGCACTGGAGGGCAGGCGGGCACTGGAGGGCAGGCGGGCACTGGAGGGCAGGCGGGCACTGGAGGGCAGGCGGGCACTGGAGGGCAGGCGGGCACTGGAGGGCAGGCGGGCACTGGAGGGCCGGCGGGCACTGGAGGGCCGGCGGGCACTGGAGGGCCGGCGGGCACTGGAGGGCCGGCGGGCACTGGAGGGCCGGCGGGCACTGGAGGGCCGGCGGGCACTGGAGGGCCGGCGGGCACTGGAGGGCCGGTGGGCACTGGAGGGCCGGTGGCAGGGGTCCCTCCTCACACCCAGCCACACCTCTCCGAACCCCCCTCTTGCAAAGTTCTTCTGCAGCACGTACCTGGGAGAAGGGGCGGGCGGGGGAGAATGGAGGTTGGGAGAGAAAGAAGAAAGGCAAGAAGAGGCAAGAAAAGCAGCAAGACGGAACACTGTTCAAAGAAAGAGACAGATTGACAGAATCTTATATAACCATGCGAGTGTCAGAACTTGAGCTTAGAATCCATACACTAGTAATGAGCTTGAAGCTCTTTAAGTACATCCAGGATGAGCAAGAGATGATGGGGAAGGAATTGGGGGCAATCTCTAGGGATTGGGGGTAATCCTAAGGCAATCTCCACTTGGTGGGTTGGAGATTGCTTGGAGATCACATTTGGTTTGGTTGAAATGTAAGTGTACACCCAACCAAACACAAAGTACAAACTACACTAAACTAGGATATAAGAAAGTACAAAATGTGATGTGAGTGCAGAAAACTATGAGCAGAAAAGAAAGGCATTTCTCGTACAGCAACATTCATTGACTTACCTGCGCTGAGCAAATCCCATCTGGTGCTTCGTCCAATTGCTGTCTGCCACATCAACATCCCCCCATTCGTCCCCTTCCACACCTCTCTCCTCCCTCAAACTCCCCTCCTCCATCTCCTCCCTGTCCCCTATCACCTTCTTGGAACTCCCTTTATCCATCACCCCCCTATCCTCCACCCCATCCCCAACCACCAACCCCTCCCTCCCACCTCTCTCCTTTTCCATTCCCATGCCGCTCTTTCCAGGGAGGCCTGGTAGGAGCAGCGGCACCGAGCCTAGCAGGTTCAGGAACCGAACCAGGCCAAGAGGTGCGGGAATCGCCAGGCTTGTGGCTGGGAACAGAAGTGGCTTGGCAGTTGGTTTGGAGCGTGTAGCTTCAAACGGGAGTGTGAGAGGAGTGTGTGTGAGGGAGTGGGAGAAAAGTGAGGGGGGAGAGTGAGTGAGGGGCTGAAGAGCTTGAGAGGAGGATGGCATGTCCTCTAGCTTAGGAGTGTGGGGTAGTATCTGATTCTCATGCAGGATTCGATTTCTGGCTAAGATTTGATTCTGAGATGGGATCTGGTCATCAGCTGCGATTTTCTGGTGTGAATGTGCTAGCGGGCGTCCCAGTGGTTGAAGGGATTTTGAAGTGTGCAGAGCGGTGAGATGGTTGTCGGAAGAGGTGGCAGGGGTTGAGGAGGAGTGTGACTGTAATGGAGGCCAGATGAGCAGGCATTGAAATGCCTCCATAACAGCCCGTGCACCTGAGGCAAAGATTCGCAGGCAAACGGAGAGAAGAGTGGAAAGAAGGCGAAGTCGTCAACTTTGACCATCAATCTGTAAATTCGAAACATAGGCACGCATGCAGGTGCGTGCGCGCGGGTACACACACACACACACACACACACACACACACACAAACACACACACACGCAAACGCAGAGGCAAGATCCGATGTGGCACAGACAGGCCACCTGCAAAGATGGGAGGAGAAGAAATCGAAGCATACGAAAAGTGCCTGTCCTCCCATCGAAGCCAAGGCAGTTGAGCACTCACCGAGGGCTGCCAGCTGGCTGCCAGGTGGACTGGGTTCAGCTGATTGGTCCAAACCTTGCTGGTCAAAACCTTGCACTATCTCTTGCTTTCCAATCTTGCTTGCAGCATCGCTAATCACATCGCCATCACTGCGACTGCTACTGCGGCTACTGCTCTTACAGCGACTCAGGGTTGGAGGAACAACAGCAGCAGACCCAGCCGCTGCGGCGCTGCCTCCTACAGCCTGGGGATGGGAGGGGGAGGCAGCAGGCAGGGCTGCGCCGTGCTGAGCCTCCCTAAAACGCCGTGTTGGGAATGGTCCTGATGAACCAGAGTCGAGGTACTGGGGAGAATTGCGGCAAGCGCGGTTACGCCCAGAGGCCGCACGGTCATGCCAAAGAGGCACAAGGGAGGGGCGAGACGTAGCAGCAGCAACAGGAAGGGGTTTGAGCAGCTCGTAGCAGTGGGCGGTGGAGGAGGGGATGTGGGATGCTGCTGGGTGGTTCTCGTGCTGTGAAGGCACCTCAGACGGCAGTGTGGGTTCCTGCTGCTGCACTGGGCCCACCAGTACAGGAGCTGTGGAGGACCGTGCATGCAGAGCAAGCTTCGAAACGTGCATGCGGTGAGAGGCAGGAAGAGGGTTTCGACTGTCCAGACGGTGGGAGATCGAAGCAAGGTCTCTGGGTAGCACGGAACCCAAGGGAGCTAAGGGAGGTGTAGTATCAGTGGGTGTGGAAGTCAAGGGCCAGCTGCTCTGCTGCTCAGAGACCGTTTGCTGTTGCACTGGAGGGGTGCTGGAAGCAAGGCGTTTGTGTGATTCTGGCTTCTGGAAATCCTCGTCCTGGGAAACCGAGGATGCAGGAGTGGCTGATGCACCAGCTGTAGCTACGCCAGCAGTAGCATGGGAGGCAGAGAGCGCTACAGCCGTGGGTGGGGCATGGGTCTGGATGGGTCGGCTACAGGTGCGAGATTCTGGGTCTGAGGGTGGCTGGGAATGGACATCTGACCCTGTCCTTGAATGGGGATGGCGACAGGAGCAGCGAGAGGGTGAGTGTGAGTGGGTATGCGAGTGTCTGCGTGAGTGAGAGAGCTTGAGTACGACAGCAGCAACATTATCCAGAGTGCCTCGTTTGATAGCCTCTTGTGTGATTCTCTCTGCCAGCTCAACCACCTCTCGCCTCTCCTCACTCCCCTCCCAACACACCCTCGCAGGGTCCCTCCCTTCCCACCTCCTCGCCTCCACCAACCCACTCTCGCCTCTCACCGCAACCTGTCCCTGTGCCTGTCCTTTTTCCTGCTGCTGCTCCTGCTGCTCCTGCCGCTGCTGCTCCTGCCGCTGCTGCCCTGGCTGTGGCTGCTGCAGCGGCTGGAGCTGCTTCTCCCTCACTGCAATCACCTGTCCTCCCTTTACACGCCGTGCACCCTCGTCAGCAATCGCAGCTACCACGCTTTCACGCCTGCATTCGCTTCCTCCCTTGCACCCACTCTCAGCTGAGCACCCACTCTCAGCACTGCACTGGCCCTCTGGCCAGCATGCCAGTGCCAGCCGTGTCTCCACCTCACCATCCCTGCGCACACACATGAGGGGACCCTGCTCCACGCCCTGCAGCATCCAGCAGTACGGCAGCTGCCCCCTCTGGACCATCACCTGCTGCTGCTGCTGCTGCCTCGCTGCGTCCATGTGCCCTTGCAGCTGCATTTCTCCCTGTGCATTCTCGTGTGCCGCCTCAGGCACTGCTGATTGCCGTTCCCCACTCACCACAGCAAGAGCTCCCTGATCGTCCCCTTCCTGCTGCCCGACCGGCAGAGGAATGGCATGGAGCAGCGACCCTTCTGTAACCTCACTCTCACGGCCAGATGCAGCAGCAGCAGCAGCCGCACTGTCAAGCACCCAATCCTCCTCATCCTCCCCCCCTTCCCTCTCTTCCCCCCTCTCCTCCTCCTCATCGCCATTGCCATCACCAGCATCAACGCCATGAACAACCCCACCACCACCATCACCACCATCACCATCCCTATCAGCGCTTTTCCCGCTCCTCCTTCTGCTACCTCTTCCTTTGCTTGCCCGTAACCCCCCCAATTTCCTCCTCTGGGCCCGCCTCGCTCTGCCCACAATGCCGCACACCTGGCATGGTTTCATTCGCTCAAAGACACCATCAGATGCCACGATCAGGAACTCCTCGTCCTCCTCCTCCTTCTCCTCCTCCTCGCCCTCCTCAACCTCCTCCCTTTCCCCTCCTTCCGTATCATTCACTACATACTCCTTTCCATTGCGTCCCTCCAAACCTGCTTTCCCTGCTGGCGTTTCTTGACCTGCTTGACCTGCTTGACCTACTTGACCTGCTTGACCTTCTCGTCTTTCCACCTCTCTACTCCCATTCATAACCTGGGCACAGTCCAAACCCCACTCCCCCTCTTCTCCCTCCTCTCCCAACACCTCCCTTGCTGCATCACTTTCCTTCACCACCCGCCCACTCCTCTTCCCATCCACCCTACAAACTCCCATGCCGCTCCCCCTTGCACCACGTCCCCTTGCCCCACCCCTTCTTGCCCCACCCCTTCTTGCCCCACCCCTCACCACCCACTCAGTGATCTCAGGCGTGGGCACCACCCAGGGGCGGTACTGCAGGTCCCCAAGGGCGCGAGTAACAGCCAGCTCGCCTTGCACGCGCGCCACACCGCCCCGCTCCTCCACTCTCCCCCCCATCGCCTCCACGCGCCTCCTCTCGTCCTCCCTGTCTGCTCTGTGGTCGTCAGTCAACTCTGTCGTGCATAATGAGGCAGAACGCGTGTGACGCGGCGATTTTTTAGTCGACTCAAAAATCGCCTCTGTCGTGCACAATGAGGCAGAACGCTCCCCTTCTTGCTGCTGCTTCTCCTGCTGCTGTAGGGGAGTTCCTGGTACAGGGTTACTATGCTGCTGGTGGGGCACGGTTAGTGCATGATTCTTCTGTTCCTGATGTCCATGCTTCTGCTGCTGGTGTTGCTTGTCGTAGGGCACGGGTAACGCCTGCCTCTGCTGCTGCTGCTGCTGCTGCTGCTGCTGCTTCTGCTGCTTCTGTTGCTCGTGCTCCTCCCGCTGCCTCTGCGTCAGCTGCTCCTGCTGCCTCTGCGTCAGCTGCTCCTGCTGCTTGTACTTCACCAGTGCATGTCGCCTCTGCTGCTCGCGAAGGCGCTGCCTCCGTCTCTGCAGAACCGCCAAGCGACGGAGCTCTGATTGCACAGGGAGCGGGGCAGGAGAGGGAAAAAATGCAAGAGGCGGATGGGGAGAGATGAATGTGAGTGACGTGGGAAGACTGGGCGTGGGTAGGACCAATAGAACATGGGGAAGTGGTAACCAGAGGAAGCGGTAACCAGATGAAGTGGTAACCAGAGGAAGCGGTAACCAGATGAAGTGGTAACCAGAGGAGGGGTCTCACTTTGCTCACTCATGCTTTGCTCGGCTGCCTGCCTGCACCCACACACCGGCACAGCACAGGCTGCCTGCCTTTCTGAGGCGCCTGGAGACGCCTTGTCTAAGCTGCCTTGTTTTCTTTCATTTGCATCAGCTATGCTTCACTTCACTCACCTTGCTCGTCCATGCTCTGCTCCGCTGCCTGCCTGCAACCACACACCGACACAGGCTGCCTGCCCCTATCCAAGACTCCTCCCATCGGCCATCTCCTCCACTCACGCACCCCTGCTTCTGCAGAAATGGCATGCTCTCTAATGTCCGGGTCCTTCACAGCCCGCATCATGCCATCAGTGGTCGCCAGCACACCCTGCTTCTCAACAGTCCCCTGCAGCACACCCTCTTTCACATCTCCTCGCCCCTGACTCATCCGCTGCTCCTCCCCTGCTGCACTCATATGCCTCTCTCGAACCCCCACCGTCTGGCCCCCATGCCTCTTGCCACCGCCACAGACGAGAACCTTAGAGTCTCCTACGTTGGCCACTGTCAAGTGCTGCACCTCCCACTCCGATGCCCCCCCTTGGATAGCAGTGCATGCATCTGGGGAGCTTGAGTGCTTGCAGTGGCTGGGTGGCGTGTGGTGGGCGTGTGTGCGGTGGGGGTGGCAGCAAGGAGGCGAGGGCAGCAAGCGGTGGAAGACAAGGAGGGCCACAGCAACGGTAGAGCCCGACCACCAGCGGTGCTTGCTAGCCTCCTGTGAGAGGCCAATACAACGACACAGGGGGTAGTGCGTGCACAGGGGGTTTTGGTGAACACACAGCAGGCGGTGAAAGACAAGGAGGGCCACAGCAACGGTAGAGCCCGACCACCAGCGGTGCTTGCTAGCCTCCTGGGAGGGGACGAGGGGCGGAGGGGACGGAGGAGGAGGGATCGGAGGGGCGGAGAAGGAGGAGAGGGAGAGTATGGAGGAGGACGGGTGGAGGGGACGGGGGACGAGGAGAAGGAAGGAGGGTTCAGAGGGGGCCGAGATTGAGGGTACCTATGCTGAATCTCTCAATCTCTGCTTGCGCAACACTGAGACTCAGAAGCCTCAGGGGGTCTGTATGCTGAGCCATTTTAGATAGAGACACAGAGGACTCCCATGCTCCACCAGTGATTGCCTTACCTGTGCGAATTCCGTATCCACGTCCTCTAGAGCGCCTGCTAACACTCCTTCAAGCACCCTCTTCTATTCTTGAGGCGCCTCAAAAACCCATTCGTACACCTGTGCCATGCCAACAGTGGTTGCTTACCTGTGCGAATTCCGCATCTACATCCTCCAGAGCGCCTGCTAACACTCCTTCAAGCACCCTCTTTCTCACCCTCTCCTGCTCCTCCCACTCCCTCTCAGTTTCCTCACCCTCCTCCTCCCTCTCCTCCTCTCTCTCCTCCACTCTCTCCTCCACCATCCCTTCACCAGCACAGCCTGCACGCCTCCTGCCGCTTCCAACACCCTCACACCCATCCCTTCCATCACCATGCCTCCCACCCTCAAACCCATTCCTCCCATCACCATCCCTCCCATCCCTCCCACCATCACTTCCAGCGGCCGCCTGCGACTCATGCACGGCCTTGCAGTCACACTGCGACTGCTTTCCACTGAGAGCAGGCAGGGCGGCGAGTCTGGCGCGCAGGGAAGGGAGGAGGCGCGAGGCTGCGAGCTGACTGGCCTCGCCTCCCCCGTGCCCGTCCAGCACCCCCACAGCCTGCACCGCCCACTGGCGGGTGCAGCCATCTGGATGGAGGGTGAGAAATGATTGGAGGATGGCAGATAGTCAACAAATGGTTTGGTATGGCTGGCCTCGCCTCCCCCGTGCCCGTCCAGCACCCCCACCGCCTGCACCGCCCACTGGCGGGTGTGACCACCTGGAGCAAAGTTAACAGAAACATCGTGGAGAAAGGGCAATGGATGACTGGTTTGGAGAATAGTAGATTGCTAATGGGTGGGGTGGGGTGGTGAATAGCTGGAGGAATGAGACAGGGCGGAGAGTCTGGCGCGCAGGGAGGGAAGGAGACACGAGGCGGCGAGCTGGCTGGCCTCGCCTCCCCCATACCCGTCCAGCACCCCCACCGCCTGCACCGCCCACTGGCGGGTGTGACCACCTGGATGAGAGGGTGTTTGAGGGATAGTGGATAGTTAATGGACAGTGTGGTGTGCTGTGCTGTGGCTGGCCTCCCCGCCTCCATGATCGTCCAGCACCCCCACCGCCTGCACCGCCCACTGGCGGACTCGACCACCTGAACGGGGGAATGTTTGAGAGATAGTGAACAATGTATGAATGGTGTGCTATGGTGTGGTGTCTGTGGTGCGGTGTGGCTGGCCTCGCCTCCTCCATGCCCGTCCAGTACCCCCACCACCTGCACTGCCCACTGGCGGGTGTGGCCACCTGGAGTAAGGGTTGTTGGGGGGATTATTTTTAAACGTTTTTGAGAGGTTAGCATGATGGATGCTGCATGTTGGCATGATCAATGCTGCATGTTGGCATGATGGATGCTGCATGTTAGCATGATCAATGCTGCATGTTAGCACGATGGATGCTGCATATTAGCATGATGGATGTTGCATATTGGCATGATGGATGCTGCATGTAGGCATGATGGATGCTGCATCTTAGGATGGTGAATGCCGCATGTTGGCATGATGGATGCTGCATGTTAGTAGCATGATGGATGCTGCGTGTTGGCATGATAGATGCTGCATGTAGGCATGATGGATGCTGCGTGTTGGCATGATGGATGCTGCATGTAGGCATGATGGATGCTGCATGTAGGCATGATGGATGCTGCATGTTGGCATGATGGATGCTGCATGTTGGCATGATGGATGCTGCATGTAGGCATGATGGATGCTGCATGTTGGCATGATGGATGCTGCATGTTGGCATGATGGATGCTGCATGTTAGCACGATGGATGCTGCATGTTGGCATGATGGATGCTGCATGTTGGCATGATGGATGCTGCATGTTAGCACGATGGATGCTGCATGTTGGCATGATGGATGCCGCATGTTGGCATGATAGATGCTGCATGTTGGCATGATGGATGCTGCATGTTGGCATGATGGAGTCAAGCATTCCAAAGGCTCTCACTGCTATTTCGGCATAAAGTATGTAAAGTTCCCAAACACAAGGTTAAGAAACAGGTACACGCCGTGAAATCGTACCTTGAGTGACAATATTGAGGGCTTGGAACAGGATTCTGAAACTGTGATTGAGTGACGACAATATAGAGGCCTGGAACAGGAACCTGAATGTGCACCTTGAGTGACAATATCGAAAGCTGGAACGGGGATGAGAGCCGAGCAGAGAACTCTATCTTCCTGGAATTGCCGTCGTCCTTTCACCACAGACACGCCACATGGTATGCCGTGATTGGACACAGCGATTGCCGGAGGAACTAAAACTGAACCCGCGAACAAGACGAGAAGTGTTACTAGAACGACGGGTACCATTATTGCGAAACTGAGCGTCGCAAATAGCGAATTTGCCAAAGCTAATCAACGCACGTAGCTCCTGGTGCAAGAAAAACACGAGAAGAGCCATTCAATCTCTTCGCGCTTCACGAACGAACCGCGCATGTGATCTACTGACTGGAAAGTGGAAAACGTTGCTGCTAACAGGCTTCGATGGCCATGTATGATGTGGCTAGAGGTAACCTCCAACACTGGCTCCCCGCCTTGGGATTCGCGGCTGGGAGAAATGGCTGCTTCCGCTGAACACTACTCGAGGTTCTCAAGGCTAGGGCGTGGTCCTCCTTGTAACAGGGGCCTGTCCACTTAGATGGTGCTACAGCCTAGATGTGCGACTGAGTTCGAAAAATCATCGTTGAATTTTGTAGTCCCTGCTATCGATGTTGAGCTAAACTTTCTACTTCGTACAGTATTTCCTCGCTCAGGATCTAATTGTCGTCACACCATTTCTTGCGTACTGAAACGTCCTTGGATCCGGTTCGATCCGTATACGTTAGCGGTGAGAAATACGCCCTTGGAACATCTGCTCATTCTTCCGCTCCCTTGATTTCTCAACCTAGAGACAACCTGAGTAGATTTATGGAGATATTCCATGTCCCTGTGTCGGTTGTACTGTATGAGTGAACACCTTTTCCAAATGACCTAGAAAATATCCATAGCAATCTCGCAGATTTGAGTTCTATCTGACGAACTTTTTTTTGAAAGTAATCAAAAATCAGAAAAGGTCTCCTCTGCTTATTCCACGCTATCGCGTATTGGGAAGTCAGCCATTCTCTTTGGCTGTTGGTTCTTAGCAAAGTTGATCATTTTCATTAACCAGCGGCTATCGGCCTGTCCAAAAAATGGTTCTTCTACGAGCGAGTCTCAATGGCGTGTGCCTTAATCCAACGCACACCTTCGCGACGCGGCGTCCGTGCGAACCCGAAGAAGCAAACCAGACATTCGCATTTCAGCATGAGCAACGCATCAGAGGCGGTCCGATCGGCTCCTGCCGACAATCCCCAAGCGGCAAAAGTAGATTGCTTCGTCAGACATCCTCCAGTCGACCACTTGGCTCCTCCCGGAGTATAAGAATGCGGGAGCTAGAGTATTCTCGAGGAGGAAGATCAACGGACGGACTGAAGCTCCGAGCGAGCTTACATGCAGACGCTACGCCTGGGAATTTTCCTCAGGATCGACAGGTGCTGCCATGTGAGTGATTCGGAGGGTTCGTTATGATTTGTCTCAGTACACGCAGATGCCACGACTGGGGAATTGCCTCAGGAACGACACATGCTGTCATGTGAGTGCATCTCAGGTTCCGCTTGCTGCCATGTCAGCTCGCTTTCATCCTCTCACCAACCTCTCCACCCCCACGGATCCATATCCTCTCATATTCTCTCCTACTTTCTTGTCCCCTCCCCATTACCTCTTCCTTCCCCTCCTCCTTCCCCCTCCCCTCCCCCAAATATATCAGCCTCTGTTCCTTGATCATCTTCCCACTTCTCCATCATCTCTACCTGATCAAAACGACAGTGGCGCCAATTTGTCTGCACCACCCAACCTAGAACCTAGGCCTGAGCTCCCTGATCACTAACACCCCCTTAATTCCCTTATCATTACTTGTGTTTGCCTGCTGTCTTGAAATTGCTCTCATTTTTGCAGCAAGGCCATAGCTGATGGCTTTGAGAAACCCCATCGCCACACCAACACACCCCTCACCCTCCTCTCCTCCCTCTCCTCTACCCCATCATGCAGCTGACAAGAGTGGGTCGGACCAGGGCAGGAAGCACACCCAGACACCCCGCACCCTTCTCTCTTCACTCTTTTCTCCCCCGCCCTCTAATCCCTCCCACCTTCTTCTCTCCCCCTCAACCCCAACTTTCTCCCCCATCAACCAGCTGACGAGAGCGGGTCGGACGAGGGAAGCAGGCACGGGCAGGGCGGGTGGCAGAAAGCAAAGCTCAAGTGGAAACCACCCCAGACAGTGTGGCGGGCGTTTGCAACACTCATCATGGCGGGACAGGTGGGGCTTGCAGGGGAAAGCAGGTGCGAGAGGGGATTTATGTGACTGTAGGCGTCGTGTATGTCAGTAAGAGTGGAATCGGCCGCAGACTGTGTGGAGTGCGTTTGCCACCCACACCCTGGCGGGACAGGCGGGACTGGGAACAGGTAAGTTACAGGGGAGGCGAATATACCCATCTTAGTTTCATTCTGATAAAAAATTCGTCCATGAGTGCATGATTGATCCGTCACTGTTCTCGAGATCAAAGTGAAGTGATGATGGGATGCTTCACAGGCCAGTCATAAAGCCTTTCTCTGCCTCCTCTCTACCATCCAATTGTGTGCTGCCAGGTGTCCATGCGTGTGCTGACGGGGCGTGTGCACTGGCGTAATCTGCTGACTCAGCTTCAGATCGTGGGGCCAGGATCGCTCGGAGTCTCCCTGCTGACAGCATGCTTTGTTGGCATGGCTTTCACCATCCAGGTGGGAGCTTTACCATCCAGTTGTTATGTTCATTGTACATGTGTAATATTCACTCACTGTCTGGGTGTTCCTTTTAACCTATGCACAAAATATGCCCTTTATTAGGTGTGACATTTGCCAGTTAAAATCCACCACTTCACCTTAAAAGCCTTGAAGGGTACTTAGCTCATATTCCCTCGTCATCCCCTCTCTTATCCCATCCAACCATCTCGATCTCCTCAAATCCCCTCCTGCCCCACTCTAACCCCTCCCATCTCCGTTCGCCTGGCTGGGCCTGACTCGCTCCATGGGGGGGGGATGCCGGCGCTGTTACCCGGTTTGCCCGTTTGATTGTTGAAGCGCCCTCTTACCCCCTCCCCTCCCTCCATCTCCCCCACCACTCCCTCCCCTCCCACCAGTTCGTGCGGGATTTGCTCGGCTGGGCCTAAGTCGCTCCGTGGGGGGGGGTGCTGGCGCTGTTACCCAGTTTGCCCGTTTGATTTTTTTATCGTCCTCTTACCCCCTCCCATCCCTCCCTCTCCCCCACCACTTCCCTCCCTCCCCGCCCGCCACTCCCACCAGTTCGTACGGGAGTTTGCTCAGCTGGGTCTGACTCGTTCCGTGGGGGGGGTGCTGGCACTGGCGCTGTGCAGAGAGCTCTCCCCCGTCGTCACCACCGCTATCATCCTACTGAGCACCGGCAGGGCAACTGAGCAAATCGCCGCCCAATTGCGTGGCCAGCTGAGCAAATCGCCCATCCTACCTTCTCCCATCCCATCCCCTTCCATACCCTCCCATGTTCCCGTGCGCTCCCATCCCCTTGCCATCTCCCCAGTTCGTGCGGGAGTTTGCTCGGCTGGGTCTGACTCGCTCTGTGGGGGGTGTGCTGGCGCTGGCGCTGTGCAGAGAGCTCTCCCCCGTCGTCACCGCCATCATCATGGCTGGCCGCGTGGGCAGCTCCTTTGCTGCTGAACTAGGCACCATGCAGGTGGGTTTTAGGCCACGTACAATCATCATCACCAACACCCTCACCAAGAGCTCTCCCCTGTCGCCACCACCACCATCATGTGGCTGGGCGCGTGGGCGGGCAGCTCCTTTGCTGTTGAATTAGGCACCATGCAGGTGAGATTGGGTGCAGCATAGTTGCAGGTTTAGTCACCGTCACCGTAAGCTCTCCCCCGTCGCCACCACTATCATCGTGGCTGGCCGCGTTGGGAGTTCTTTCGCTGCTGAGCTGGCACCATGCAGGTGGGAATCAGCACACTGGCACC